GTAGTGGTAGTGGTAGTGGTAGTGGTAGTGGTAGTGGTAGTGGTAGTGGTAGTGGTAGTGGTAGTGGTAGTGGTAGTGGTAGTGGTAGTGGTAGTGGTAGTAGTCCTGGTGGTAGTGGTGGTGGTGGTGGTGGTAGTAGTCCTGGTGGTGGTGGTGGTGGGCACATTTTAGAAAGGATCTTATCACTGGGTGATAGTAGTCGTGGGACTCTATATGTAGCTGGCCAATGTGGCCCCGTGCACTTCCAGGCTGAATCTTGCAGAATTACAAACACTACGAAGACACGGCTCAGGCCGATTATGGCAGAAACAAAAGCTGCCAGGCAATTAAATGATCAAGTATTTGCCCACCAATTAAAGGATTCCATTGGTCAAATATGGCCAAATGCAACCATCAGCATGCCCCAGCCTACAAGCGTGGAATGCAGAAACATCTGCGATGATCTTGTTCTGCAGCGTTTTTCAGAAAGTGATTCTCAGTGCATTCTCAGTACATCTCTCATGGGTCATGCGTCTGGCATCAAGAACGCCTCTGAGCTCAATCTTAGATAGCTGTACAAGTTTCCCCTGCGCTTAGCGGGTATACGTCCCTGCAGTGCCCGTCCGTGCGACGGCCTGCCAAGACCCGACCCATTGGACGCTTCAAGAGCACCGAGTTCCACCGATGGGCCTGTCGCATCATCTGTGACATGTCGATGTCCAGGAGTCCAGGACTGGCCTTTCTGATGCCAAAGCACTTGGGGCAACTCCAGAGCCTTTCAGGCTGAGAAACAGCCACCAAACTGGAAGTGTACTAAGATTGGACCAAAATGTCATCAGTGTGATTGAGGATGATCCCGTGTTACCCCAAAATGGGCCCCAAAACACTTGGGGAAGTGCTGGTTGAACAAAAACACCTTAACATCCTCTAAAGCGTGACAAGTATGGGCCTTTTGAATGCGGATGTCTCTCCAACGGGGATCTCCACAACAACTGTGAATATAGTATAGTGTAAATTATACTGTATGTGTACAGTATACACATATATATATTTTATATGTAATATGTATGTATTTATTTATTTAAGTGTTGGTATATGTATATGTTTATGCTGATCCAAACTCAGTTTGGTGCTCTTTTCTCAGTTTTTGCCGGCAGTGAACCACTGCCAGGTCGACCGGTGGGCCGACCGGTGGGCCCGACCGGTCCGATTTCTCAGGTCAGCTCACGTGCTTGATTCATGATCTCTATGGCGTCGCGCCT